GTTGCGAAAACGATTATCTCAAAATCGAAGTATGCTGTAGAAAAATTGTATCGACTGTTTGATGCGTTGTTTTGCGTAGAATCGCTGGATATCCGTTTTCCAACGGATTGGAAGCAAGATCTCAAAGAGTTATCAATGTTCGATGATTATTCTACAGTGTCCTTCGAGGTCAGATTTGACGATCGGACAATGAAACACGGGCCATCGAACACACAAAGTTTCCCAGCTCGTAAACTTGTAATACCATCTCGCAGGTACGATGTAATCTGTCCAGTCGTTTAATTAATTTTCCCCTCCGGGAACATAAAAACCCGCGGAACGAGCTCGAATTATCGTTCGAATTAATTTGATAATTTCTGGCTTTAGCGAACGTCCCTCCATAATACGTGTCGATTGTGCTTTAATCGTGCTGTCGCCGAGAATTACGCATTAATTAAGAAGAAAACCTTTTAGCGAGATCCGCGACTCATGACAATCGCAGCTCATTAATTTCTACGCTGCGTAACAAAACAGATTCTTCCCTGTACGCACAGCTACATATCTACGTCGCATGCGAATTTACAATAATTGTTAATAGGGACAGTTATTGTCCTTAATTTGCATCGAGGGACTCTCGACTTATTCGTTTCCACCATGTAAATTAAAAAGACGCATCCCGGATTGCACGACTATTGCAACAACGGTCAGTAGTTATAATAATATAATAATATAATAATATAATAATATACAACAGTATACTGCAGATTTCTACGGATGCCGAAAATTATTTGCATCATTTTATTTACAAATTGCATATTTTTCCGCCTGGCTAATTAAGCATCGGTATATCGAAATCTTTTACATGATATCACTGTTTTATATTCGCAAAAGAAACATTAAGTGATTACAAACGCCAAATAATCCTCCGTTTATCAAAGACTCCAATGTTGATACGGTGAAATGGTTCGCTTCAAACGAACCGTTTTTCCTCCATCATATCCTCTGTTACACGAGAAGATCATAATTATCCTTGTAGAACCTACATAGCCATTCGCTCGAGTGCATGCTCTCCTGGGACTGGGTGAAACAAATAATTCCGCCTGTTTTAATCAGCAAAATTAAAAAATATTCGTTAACGAGAAAAATGCTTTCTAAAAGCTTACTCGATCCCTGATTTGTAAATTGTCAGGTAAGGTAAGCGTATTAGTTACTGTGCCCATTAAAGTGGCATCCAGAGTTTTCGATGATGGACACTTAATCCAGTTACAGTGCACAGTAAAATAGAAATAAAACGCAAATTTGTTTAAGTTATTGAATCATTTTAAATAAATAAAAGAACGTCTAAGAAAGTCGGTTATATTATTGTCTTTCTGTAATTTGGTCAAGTTTTTGTTTCATTTTGAAAAGCATCATTTTTGTATTTTTTCCATCTTTGAAACGCGTTTCACAAGTCTTTTCACTAGGTGAAGACAAAAACACATCGAACCTTCTATCAGAAATGTTTTAAATTAGTTTCCGCGTTTTATAATTATTAGATTAAGAAGTTGAAGTGTTGATGCGGTTATGAAAATTGCGGATGAAATTTTCAATATCTGTAATTTAATAAAATTAAAATTCAATATCTGCAGTTTGATCAAATTAAAATTCTACATCTGTAATTTCATAACATTGTTTTTAAATAGAAGTAAAATTATTGCAAGACTACAGTAAAGAAGGGACGGCACAGTAATTGACACAGTCACCCAAATCCCGATTGGGATCCGCAGGTTGACTGATAGTGGACGGTGGCGCATCAAAAAATTCGTAAAGCTCGTAACATCTGCATTAAAGCATCCGTTCAATCCAGGCGAATAGAAGCCGAATCAACGAGCGTGAAAATAATCTCTCTTGTTACCGTCCCGCTGGCCGGGCCGGACGGTCCACGCAGAAAATTACATTTTCTTTCCATGAACATCTTATTGAATTCCCGGGCCAACGCCGGGTAATGCATATCGCGGACAGAACTATTACATTACTCGATCGCAATTTGACTACAAAGGGCTCTTGGTAATACTCGTTGACAAAAGCCTTTGCCCGGAGCACCGGCTACAAATGGAATTAAAGGACACCTAAAAGGATAATCCGCCGCGCATCCGCGGAAGGACCCCGTACCCCGGTCCATTCCAGCCTTGTGCGTCGCCTCGGCCCTCATCCAACCACCCCCCTAAGCACCCTCGATCTCCCGAACCCCACCAACTAAATCGTAATTCGTCGCTCCTTTACGCCGACGCCGACGCCGCCGCTAAATTAATTAGCCCTCACTCCGGCTAAACGGATATCCCCTTCGGTTTCGTACACTTTCGCACCTCTAACTCCGATTCCTATGTCCAGACGCGACGTTTCTTGTATTTTTCACGGTTCGCGGTGAAGCTTTCACTTTTGCTATTGTTCTCGAAGGGATTTCTTGCTTCTCGATCGTGTCAAACTCGCGGCCCGAGATGAACATTTCTGATGTCAAGTATCAGGACGTAAACAATAATTTAACTTTATATATGTTTATTACAACGTACTAGTCAAAATAAAAATATTTGTTTCTATAAACATTGATTCTTTTTTTTTGCGGCCCACCTAAAGTTAAGCATTGTTTATTTGGCCCAAGTTAGCTTTTGAGTTTGACACCCCTGGTCTACGTCAAGGAAAAATGTCTTTAGAATGGTAAGGGATGAAAATTGGTCGAATCGTTGAATAATATTTGGTGCAAATAAATTTTAGCGATTGCATAAATGGTATACTGGCTACGGAGAAAATTTTCACCCTACGTGAGAAAGGCTCCTTTTTTTCTGCAAATCTTCGGTGTCCAAATCTATCTTGTTTTTTTTTTCTTTAATTCTCCGTGCATTTTTCTATACAGCGTGATTCACTGAAACTGTTACAAAGCTAGAAAGATGAACAGATTAGATATATGGTTCGAAGGGACACACACTGCGGTGATTTTTTTCTTAGAGGTCATATTTTTCGAGATTTCAAGGACATCGATGTTTTCATAAATACGATTACATCAAGGTCATCTGTATTTCTGCTTTTACTACACACGGAACGCGGCGATCTCTTATCGCGACGTAATAACTGGTGTCGGAGCGATTCCATTAAGTTATCGTTAAAGGTCGTGCAACTTCAAATGTGATAATAAAATGAACTTTCTCGCCGTGCCGAGGATGTTCGAAGCGGTGATCGTTTGCGTGAATGTAAAGTTGCATTTTTATAATCTGCACTTTTTATAATCGCGGCGTGTTCTGGAATAAGTGTTTGAAACGATAAGAAATGCACGCGATACAGCGATAAGAAGATTACAGCTTTACGTTCACGCAAACGGTTGCTCCTCGTGAAATATTTTTTTAAAAAATGTGTACAATTTGAAAGAAGTTTAGTACTGGTATATAATAGTAGGATTTTCCATTTCGCGCCGGAAAACCATCGCATTAAATCAACGTAAAATAATAAAATAATGCTCGTCAGCCAGTCCATAATTTCCGAACGGAATTTTCTCAGCGAAGATGCTCGAAAGGAACGAGAACTGCGGCTGATTAATCTTCGCGATTAACCTAACCCTTCCGGGTAAATTTTGGATCGTGCACGATCCAGCCCCATAAATCTCGATCGCCGGAGTTAATTTCGTTCGACGAACGTAAGAAAAAAAGGTTTGGCGTTTAATTCGAAATAGGTTGAACGGTGCCTCGGCTTGGCGCGTGTTGAGGAGAAAAAGAAAGGCGAACAGGAAGAGAGTAAAAAAAGGCAGAAAAAGAGGAAGAGGGAAAGAGAGGGTGGGTTCGCGGAGGAAAGGCACGCGCGTAGTATTTAAGAGAAGCAGTAACGTAACAATAGGCGAGTACACGGGCTGGAAACGGTAATGGTGTGTCGTGGTTCGCCCAGCTTACTTTTATGTCCCAGCAGGACTGCTCTTCACCTTCTACACCGTCCGCTTTCACTCTTTGGCTCGGCTCATGCGCCATTTCTCCATCCCCGTCCTCTCTTCCTCACTCTCTCTCTCTCTCTCTCTCTCTCTTTCTTCGTCATGCGGCACCACGCTTATCTACTCTCGCCACCGCCACCCTTCTTTCATTGGGACAAGGCAGAGTGCAAGCAGCAAAGGCTCGCTTTGTTACCGGACACCATTCTCCATTATTAAATTGTATGTTCTTCAACCCCTTGCCACGGCGACAGCACCTGTTTCCAAGGAATCTGGTTGCGCCGAGCCAAACCATGCCAAACCGAATCAAACCGAGACGATTTTCTACAATCGCGATCGTTGACGAAGAAATATTCGAAGCACGTTCGATTCGCGCAATGACAAAATTAATACTAAATTTCTGACACCGTGAGATGTACAAGGCAACCATTGCCGCTCTACCAGTGAATAGATAATAGGGTCGAATAAAAAATATGAAAAAAAACGGGAGTATATTTTACATTTTATTATTCCAAGTAATACCCCAACATTATCGCATTTATTGCATTTTGTTGAATGCATAGAGCGAAAGGAAATCAGAAATAATCGAAATATTAATGAAACGGATTTAAATTTTTTTAATTAGCCCGAGAAGTAATTAAAAAACGAAAAGAAACATTAATTTTCTTTTATCAAATTTACATTATTTTTTTTATAATGTAAAATATATATACGTGCTTATCACAGTTTAATACAATTGGCTCCGAAATAAATTGAAGAAATTCAAACGATTTCCTATCGGTTTCTCAAATTTATTTCATTCCCTGCAAGTGTCCTAATGCTTTTGTATCACGAATTAATCTCCGAAATAATCTTCGAAATATTTTTCGTCGTGTTTAGCGATACCTTTCCGTCACGGCAAGATGATATTGGTATTGTAGCAATAAAATAGTGAGAGTCTCGTTAAAGGTTCAAGATTCCCAGGTGTTATGCGGCGGCAGAATAATTTTTAAAGGCTTCTGGGTTACTCGACCCGTTGGCAGTCTTGTGAAAAGGGTTTCAGCGGCGCTTTGATAGCAGTTAAAAAGGTACTCACAGTCAACGGAGACTTTGATCTGCTTGCTCACAGATGGAGGCACACCGTTGGATGCGATGCACAAATAAACACCCATATCGAGTCTGGAGATGCGTGTAATTTCCAGCGACTCGCCTTTCCATTCCAGCACTGAAAAGAAAAGCAACATTTTCAATTACGTTCTAAATTCTATAAATATATAACATGCGTATCATTTCTGCAGCTTCCGCGAACCAGCTACATTTACTACTGCTTCTTTCAGGCTATGGAAAACCTCACAGTGCTTCGCTAGATTTAAATTAAGGCGGGAGACTCGAGTAAACCGTAGAAATAAAAATGATATTCGACTGTTTTTTTTTTATAGCGTGAAACATGGTTGATACTTTTCGTCATTTTCCAGATATTCGCTGTCATTCGAAGATACGTAAATTTGTTTCATTACAACGAATCTTGTCGGCGTGCAGTCCAACCATGTATTATCGTTCTTTTTGCATGTATTTTAAAACAGAATATGGAAGAAAACTTCCTTTTATTGTTTGCTCTAGTTCGAAGGAAAGAAAAATCAATCATGCAAGAATGGCAGAAATTATGACAAAAAACATGTTTTAAAAACAGTACAGATCTTTGCCGAGGCGAAAGATCGCCGTTATAAAAAATAAAGGGCGGCTTTACAAAGTATTGAACACGAATAAAAACTGTTACATTCATGGAAAAATTGATGAATAAAGCCTGAGAATCGTTATGCGAGGGTTAAACAGATCGTATCCTCTTCTAAAATACAATAAAAATGTGGTCGAAGAGAAACTATAAATCCTCTACGTATCATGCTACGTGCCAGAAAATCGTGGTCGTCGCACATGTATGACGTTGCTAGCTAACAAACGTGATAAATAAAAGTTGTCAAATTAATAGATTGTCTTCTCATTTTGTCTCGGGACTGTAGAATATAACTAGACCTACGGATCTTTATGGCTAGACTGCGAATTTTATGCATTTATGACACAAATAGGAAGATGAAATTAAAGATAACAAAAGTATGTAAAAAATTTTGATGTGTAAAATTTATTGAACTCACTGAAAATATTAATGAAAGAAAAAAATTTCTGTTTCACTTATGTTCGTTGCAATTAATGATGATATTTTTTATTTTGCACGAAGAGATTCGCAGTCTGTTTGGGACTGTCGTTTGAATTTGCGAAATTTGAGAAGCGAAAAAAAAGTGTAGCTGCGGTCGACCGCTCTGTTTCGCGAGAAGAAGGAATCTCCCGGTGATTGTTTTCCAGGCTGCAACAGCGACAACCTCGAAAACCAGTCGAAGTAATTCGTCGAGTAATTTCTTAAAAAGATGGTTTTGTAGGACCGCAAACACTCGACCTCGTTATTTTGACCACTCGGCACACAATGTCGTTCATAATTCGACGAGTTTCTTAATTGCGTATTGCCTGCCCTGGTTTCGAAATTGTTTCGCATATCCGCGGCACCGGCTCGCAAAAACATTTCACGGTTCCAACGCAATTTGGAAAATCCCTCGCGCGCAAACCACGAGCAGATCTTTGATTGTTCGACTGCCTCGGTTTCCGCGTTGTTGATTCCGAAAAACCGTAAATATTTCGCAACCGGCCGCAAAAAAATTTGCCGCTTGATATTCTAACGACGACACATGTAATTACGAGACTCGTATCTGGTCGCTATTGACGACAGCGAATCTATGCGTTCCTGGCCTCTGGATGCGTGTCGCGTTAATGAGGGAAGGCATCCTTTGCTAGGGTAGACGTACCGGTTGTGGCTACGATAAGGATTTATAGGAAATTCAACGAAAGTATTCTTATTAGTATTCTGTATTTGTTGAAATTTAGATAGTTCCTAGATATACTAATCGCGTCACCTAGTTGTAATTAGGCGAAACAATAATCTTTTATATTAATGTTGTTCTTTCTGCTCAAGCAGCCACAGTGTAAACACGTACATGTTATAATAACAGTGAAATTTTACAGGGTGTCCCTATTTCTGTAAAATGAGGGGTACCTGAGATCATTTGAAGTAACTTTTTCCTTAGCGAAAATGTAATCCGCGGCTTCGTTTACTAGTTATTAGCGAAAAACAGTGACCAATCGCGCACGGTTGGCGCGATACGGCCAAGCCAACGAGCGGACAAAACCCAGTTCCGCTGATTGACTCGACCGTCTCGCGCCAGCTGAGCTGGGATTCGACCGCCTCGACCGCTGGCGCCGCTGGCTCTACCGACTCGCGCCAGCTGAGCTGGGATTCGACCGCCTCGACCGCTGGCGCCGCTGGCTCTACCGACTCGCGCCAGCTGAGCTGGGATTCGACCGCCTCGACCGCTGGCGCCGCTGGCTCTACCGACTCGCGCCAGCTGAGCTGGGATTCGACCGCTGGCGCCGTTGGCTCGGCCACCTCGCGGTAGCTGAGCTCGCCTCTCATTGGTCACTGTTTTTCGTTAATAACTTGGAAACGAAGCCGCGGATTGCATTTTCGCCAAGGAAAAAGTTACTTGAAATGACCTCAGAAATCCCTCATTTCTCGCTTGTACAATAATTTTGGGACACCCTGTCCCAACTGGGACAGATCACACCCCTGTGTAATCCAGAAATACAAAGTGAGTTTATTCATTATAAAATTACGACAGTATCGCGTAAGATGTGTACAAGTTTTAATAGATTTGGTATTGATATCTATATACATTACAGTAGGGTAACGAAATGATTCAAGAATTATTACAGTACGAAAATAGTAATATACACATTTTTCACAGTTTCTGGCCATTTGTACATCAATTCTAGACATGTTTAGTACCATTTCTGGTCATCTCATTTTCATATCACACGCATCATAAATCTGTTACAAGGAATGATGTCCGCGATTAAAATGCAGTATAACTTTTAAAAAATTTCGCATTTCTATATTTTACTTTGTAGTATTTGAAAATCTTGCTGATACAACATGTAATAATGTAACATCTCAACGTAAAAGTAGCTCTATTTTACTTATTGTAACAAATTTTTCTCTCGTTGTTCTTTCATTTTTCTTTTATCCTTCGCATTTTGCTTTTCTTCCAATTTCCATCTTTTTGCTTCTAATTCGGTTTTCTTCATTTTTTCTATGCTCTCTTATTTTACCCTTCCTGGTATTAATTTTATTTGCATTGCATTTTCTTCATTTTCTTTTCCCCTAAAAATTTCTTTTCTTTTTGAGGTTATATTTAGATTATATACGTATCGGTTAGTTAGTAAATGTAACTATTCTACTTGACGCGCGACCTTTACGTTTATTCTTATTGCACAATTCCACGAAATACTTTGTGGTGGTACAAATGGCCAGAACCGGTACATCTACCCTACTGTTGCTTTTTACCTCCCCTGCTAAACGCACCGTTGGCTCTCGGTCGTCGGTCGTGGACGAGGATTCTGTGTTTCTTTTCCCAGCGGTGCTCCCTTTTGACGGCAGTAACACAGTTTTCATAGGCCGTGCGTTTGATGTTAGGATGGCCGCTAGACGAGTGTCATTATTTTTAATTGCCGCGCGTGTTGTGCATCCCGAATCTATCGGAATCCGGTCACGTATCGACGTCACTCGTATTTTAAGAATGTCCACGGTTGACCCGGCACGAACTCCCACGGCCGAGGAAAGGGCACCGGCTGTCATTTAATTCGCGAGCGCCGTGTTACGCCCCGCTGTGTAATTAAAACCCGTCGGACATCGGTCCGCCGGCCGTTTGCCGGCCAAGAATTCCTTCGTGAACACAACACCGGGAACGCGCCAATGATAACATTGAATTTTAATAACGACACGCAATTCGCTGGCTCTGCGACACATGGTTCTCGTTTTACAGACAATTTATCGCCGGCAAGTTGAACCGAACTCGCTGCCCCCACTGACCGGAAATCTGAGAGATATCGATTATTTTCGTGAATCATTAGTAAGCATAACTGTCGTTCCCTCTTATTTTTCTACTTTTTCTGAATTATTAGATCCATAGGTATGTTCGAAATCGATTTTTATAAGGAACGGGGATTATTCGTACGTTTATGGCAATTTTCCTGTTTATCGATTTGTTTAACGCTCGAACGATGAACCTTTCGGATCAAAATATAGTTGACCATAAATCAGATGTAAGATCATTTATAATTTTGTTTATTCACTTTCTCAAGACATTTTTCAAGTACACCATCTAGATACATTAGCTCTTCCATAAACTCTAACGAAGCTTGTGAAAATTAAATACGTCTTATTCGAGAAATAAATAAAATTTTATTCAAATGACGGGTAAAACGTAAAATCTAACGAATAAAATTGCGTTTCACATTGTCGAATAAAAATCGATCTAGATAAAAATTGATTCGAATTCGATATTATTCAAATAAGAATTTATTCGTGCCGGAATTCATACGGAAAATAATTAATTTGAATAAAAATGATAGAATATAAAGTGTTTCTTCATAGTTTATCGATTTATTTATTTCATATTACTTTATCGAATTATTCAAATAAAAGAATTTTCCGACTTATTCGAATAAAGAATTTTCCGAATTGTTCGAATAAAAAATTCGACTGAAACGAATTCATTCGGATAATTATCTTCGATAAATATTTATTCGAAACAATTCGTATAACGCCCAACTCTGATCTGCTCCACTACCCTACATAGTTTAACGCGTGGGTAAACGGTGACTTACCCGATAATGTCTTGTTGATAGTGATCTTCGAGGCATCGTCCTTCTTCCAGCTAATTTTCGGTTTGGGACTTCCATTCGCCTTGCACGTCAAAGTGACGTTGGCACCTTCTTGCACGACGACGTCCGACGAGGTCTGGTAGTCTATTATGTTTGGAGGTACTGCAAACAGAAGCATAATTACTGAAACTCTACTAATAATCTCGACTATAATATTTTTAGTTACTTCACGAAACACAGAAAGAACTCGATTTCGATCGTGCACGAAGCTATCGTGGCGCGACTTTCGTTATATCGGAACAGATAGTACAGCTTTCATTCGAAGCTCGTCGAAACGATAACGGACGATCGAGCAAGTCTTAAATCCACTAAAAATTGTCATATGTCATGCTTCAAATTAATTTTAACATTATCAAATGTGTTTCGGTCTTCCAAATAAATAGCTTACGAAAAGACCGAAATTACTTTTGCAGCAGTTCGATATTTTAAAAACTGTTAAAAGCGTAACTGCTGCACGAGTCAGAACATTCAATTTCACGTGCATAAAATGCACCAGGTTACATAAAATGAGAATACTATAGACCAGAGGAACTATATTTTCGATTTCGAGTTCAAGTCGAGAATTTCTCTATTATGGGAGAATTAGCATGCGAACGGTGATCAGAGTCACCGTGTTTCTCTAATAGGTCCCGAGAGCCTAAATGAGTGAGAATAGAGGAGATTCTTTCGGGTCGGGCCGAAGAAAGTGTTTATCAACGATCCATCGAGGCAACGTCTGCCGGAGGACCATCGAGGGCGATTCGAGTGCTGCGTCAACGGCTCCCGTAATCGTGCAAAAGAGCGATATTGAAAGAACGAAAGCGTCAGTCGAATCCGGCAGCGGTCACAATAATAAAATTTGCATGACACAGACCGACCCCGGCGGCCTCTCGAGTGGACCAGGGCCGAGAGAACCGCTCCAAGGAAAAACGGACGGACTCCCTCTCCCTCCTCCCCCTCTCTCATCCCGCCCCGCGAAACGCTGAAAGAAGACCGTCGAGCTTGAATGGCATTCTTTCACATGCAAATCGAATTCAAACTTAAAGCAGCGAAAAAAGAAGAGACGGCCGGAGAGAGTGGAGGAGGTAGAGTTCGGGTTCGACAGGGTTGCAAAGGGGTTGACGACGACATTTCCAGAAACGGATGGAATCCGGTTACAAGCATGAGGGCGGTCGAGGCAGCGAGCAGAAGGCCAAAGGAAACGAGAACTGCGTGCAGATAAGTAGGGGGGGCGAGGAAATCCGCGTTAAAATGTCGTAATCACTGACGATAAGAGGCCTTCAGCGTCGCCGAAGAAATGTCCTCGTGATCGAAGGGGATGCGACCCTCGAATGGTCAGATTTTGGTACCCCGAATTCATCGATTCTTCAAACCGTTATAAGTTATTACTGATGAAATTCCTTTCGATTTTCGACACCGTTCCGTAATTTTTATACAACGTCACGATTAACGCTGGAGATATGTTCTTAGAAAGAGTTTAAAATTTCAGGACTGTTACTTTTGCTTAGCTTTGTACCAACTTATACAATATACGTGATACCTATACACAATACGTGGAAGAAGTAGGATAGTCGAGCAGATTACTGCGGGTTGACCAATTATTTTTAGTTTATTTTCGGACATAGTTGACATTATATTTATCCAATAAGACATGATGCAATTTTTTTGTTAAGAAAATATACAAAATAAAGGAATAAAAGAATGTAAAATTAAATTCTGTTATTGAAAACTAAGGAAAATAAAGGAATGAAAGTATGTAGAAATTAAACCTTTTATTAAAAACTAAACGAAACAAAAGGGTAAAAGAATGTAAAATTAAATTCTATTATTGAAAACGAGACAAAACAAAGGGCTAAAAGAATGTAAAAGCAAATTCTGTTATACGAACAATATAAAATGAATCATGCCCGAAAACGAACCAAAGGCGCAGCAATTGGTCACCCCACAGTAACCGGTTCCACTACCCCGTTTGAATGATTTTTCAATGAGTTCGAAAACACGAAGATTTCCTTGCTCCTAACACAATCTTCATTTATGACTGATCCAGAAAGAATTTTCTTTTGCCACTGAAAACGAGATCCTATCCGCTTGCATTTTTTTTTTCTTTTAATTTTGTCACAAAACCGAAAAATTCGCAGCGACGCTCTAAGCGACGTTTCTTCGCACAGCATAGTTACGTGCCACGTTAATCAAGATCGAGTTACAGGATCGAATACGAGTGAAATAATGGAGCAGTTCCGCGGAATGGCGAGCACCACGGGAATCGTGGTCGATTAAGTGATCGTGGAAATTTTCACCGCCAATTATTATCAATTCTGTCGATTAACGGATGTTCGAAAACCAACTATCGCGGTCCGAATGGTGAACGAATCGTCAATGCCCGTCCCCGAAGACGCGACAATCGTCCCGCCGCACGAATATTTTATTTCGATTATCGTTATTACCGAAGCGAAAATGCTGCAGCTGTTTAAAAGCGCGTCAGCGAAACGGTATGAATATTCGCCACTAATTTCCAGCGGAACGTTTCGATATCTGGTGGCCCATGCACGTCACGCGGTCCCGCCTGTATTAAACTTTCCACTTTCCCTTCCCTTTTTAATTATCGCTTTGACCGGTCACGCGGAATCACAATATTTATGCGCTCATCCGATTTACATACTCGAAAATTATATTCTTAATGTCGTTGGAGAATTTTTCATTGAACAATTTGTTGAAATCCTCGTACGTATTGTCTCTGAAATGCAAAAAGAGCCACGCATTCAGCAAATTTATTTTATTTATTTTAACAAAAATAAGTACAGCTAGCTCTCTTACAACACGGCATGCTATAACACGGTTTCGCTCTACCACAATAGGATAAATTTCGGGAACCCTCGTATAGCACTGCAAGCTGTAACACTGTTTCGCTCTAACCCGATAAGAAAATTCCGAAAAGTTTTGTACGACGCTGTACTTCTGTAGCACTGGATAACACGATTTTTGTTCAACATATTTAAAAACTAAATTAATTATAGTAATCTTTGTACTGTTACATCCCTTGCAAAGCTTATCGTTGAAATATCTTAGAGTTTTAGCACGAATGCAATCGTCGCTAACAGTTCTGCTGTCGTTTCAAATTTCCTTAAATCCATCAACCATGTGCACGAACCAAAGGACAGAAATAATGCTTCCCATTCGTTCGTACAAGCGATAATATGACGTTGGATCGAAATGAATAAATTCGTTCGCGGAATTATACGGGAATAGGAAAGAAACGAACTGACGATGTTGGTTTCGCGAGGTCAGAAATAACGGCGCAGACGATATATGTCCGTCTCGTATACGACGTGATATATTGTTCGATTATATGACAGTGATACAATCGAGTTAACCATGCCCTGTTATTCATTCTCGATCGGTAGCCGTACTTTTATAGAACGTCCGAATAATGAATCGCCGAGAATTAACACCGATACACACGCGAATAGATTCTCGTGAGATCAGTATCTTTATCCATGACGTTAACTGCTTCGTAAACGTTTTTGGGGACGACGGAATAAATCCGACTATACGCCTTTTTTACCACCGTTACTATACTTTCATCGGTAATTAAAAGACTAGGTTGCCTAAGTATTGCTCAACCGCAAGGCTCGAGAGATGCAGGAAAAGGACGATGGACCGTTATTCTGTCAGCATCTTGGTAAGGTGATCTTCTGAACTTACTGAGCCTTCAAGAATTGTAACCCGTTGTGGTCCGGAACTCTTGAGCATTTCGGGTCTTTGAATTCGTTGCACGCTTTTTAACATTGACGCCCGATGTACCAAAGACGGCTATACTTTTCCTTAGGGGACCAACATTTGTCGACTTTTTAGAACATGTCCCCGTAGATGTTGACGAGAGGACGCCGAAAATGCAAGTTTCAATGCGCGGAACTCATTGGTTCGAAAGTTATACGTATCCGATGTTAACGAATTCTCGGCGTTTTTTTTACAGGTTAGCGCGTCACTAAATCTTCGAGTGTCGCATCGCCAACCACATCGAGGATATCCGCTATACGTTACCAAAGAACCTCCAAAAATCCTCCAAAATCCTTGCACCGGCGTTTCGTAGTTGCTAAAATAAAACCTTGAAATCCCGAAGCAAAGATTTTCTCCTAACTTCGAAAATCAAAGAGCAATATTTAAGGCAAATACTCGCGCTACCATTTTCCTCTCGTAATCCCCACACGAAAATACGAAGATCCCTTTTTCCAGTTATTTCGTATTTCCTCTCTCGGTTCTACGGCGCAGTAATTTTTAAGGTTATATCTTTCCGAACGTAGGCTGCGCTTCCTGCAAAAACCCCTCCTTACAGAACTAACGAGTTGCGAGCCTTTCATGGAAAATGAATCCACGTTAATGCGATTTTAAAATCACGAAAGTGCTCCCTCTCTTCCTCTGTCCTCCGTCCTTATTTGAGTGCTTAACAGATTCTCTAACGTTGATCGCGTCCTATTTCGGATCCTCTTTCGTTCTTTAACGTCGCATCGACAGCTCCGATCGTTAGCGATACCATTTTATGAGGATTTTAGAATTTCTAGAAGGTTCTGTAAGTTTCGTACAGTTTTTCTTTAAACATTTTCAAACATTCGCGTGACCTAGTTAATATTGTGCATTTTTAAATAGCCTGTGTTCGAATCCACAGCTTCGAGCAGCTTCACTTTGTAGCAGGGATTTGTGTGTCAGTCTTGCGTGTCGTTTTTAGCAACCCGAATAATCCTACCAGTTGTACTGTTATAGTGGATCCGGCGATAGCCTATTCGTTTTATCACTTCTCAAGTATCTGGCGCCGGATAAATTACTTACATTGGGGATGAACGATTCTGACTCAATTTTCTGAAGAAATCCATTTTTTTCGGCGCGATTTTCGATTTTTTAAATTGATTCTTGGATATTCGATTTTTTAAATTACGAATCGAATAAAGGTCGCCATATACCATTAACTATTACAGGATTGGTTAATAAATGATGACTAATATACCGTTCAATTATTATTAATTCTTCATTTTTTCAAGTCCTAAATAAATAAATATACCAATCTAATTTAACAATTTACATGCAGTATCTCAACACGGGTACTATTGGTATCTCGATAATGTTATAAA